CCATCCATCCATCCATCCATCCATCCATCCATCCATCCACCCACCCACCACCCACCCATTCACCCATCCAAGATCCGTCCATCCATCCATCCATCTGTCCGTCCATCCATCCATCCACCCACCCATCTCTCTCTATTCCGCAAGATGACCCCAGTGGGGACCTCACCCACAGCAATATTCATGATGCATATGGAGATGGCTCTTTGGACAATGGTGCAACAACTTTTTGGGAAAAGCTCTGAAATCAGAACAGTGGGGCCTTGGCCATACCTCTCTGCTCAGGGCACCCCTGGCTGAGGCCGCTGCAAATGTGCTGTGTTAGTTCTCTGCTTCCACCATCTCTTTAAGATGGAAAAGGAATCAGGGTTCAGTTCTGCAGCCCCTTGGCTTGTTCACAGTTCTCCTGTGTTATTACCCAGCTCTTAGCCACTCCCCTTGGACTGGCAATTCTCCTGGTTCATCGATACGAACAGGTACTTCACTTTCCCCAAACCTTAAACATATTTACTCTCCTGGTGTTACACTTTCCTTTCCTCTCTCTGCCATAAAGTGCTGGGCACGTGAACATCCACATCTGCCCGGGGAGAGAAGCTTTATTGGAACAGTGCCCATCTCAGTTTCAACGATGAAAAAGGGGGAAAAAATAAGAGCGAATCTCCAAATGGAAAGAAAAATCTATGCCTGCAACAATCCTCAGCCGCTTGTTCAATTGATTTTGGGAAGGTCTTTCTGGCAGAGCGAAGGGCTTTCATTGCTCTTTTGGGGATCAGCAGAAAATGCACAGGCACCGCTGGCTGGTTTGTTCTGACGGATGATGAGGGCCACCTGCTCTGGGTCTCCCGTTGTCACTGCAGAGGCATGTGGGCCCAGCACTGGGAAGCTAACCTGGTGGTGGCTGGTCCTGGAGGGCCGAGCACTTTCCCACTGTCCAAAGCTTCTAAAAAGGCTCTTCTCTTTCACTGTGACCACCCACTCCAGGCAAACAATAGTAGAAGGCAGAGAAGGAAGCCCTCGACAGCCCAAAGATGACCTTCAAATGGAAGAGAAGGGGGCCTGGGAACAGGTGTTGTAACTAGACTTCCCTGGGGTCTCTGCGGCCGGCCTTGTCTTCCTGGGGTGCAGGGACCTACAAACAGCCCCAGAAGACCCCACCTTGTCCAGGGTGCTTAAAGCAGTGTCTGCACAGAAAATCCCATCTGCAGTTTAGAATACAGGAAAGCCTTTCTAAGTGTAACAATTTAGGGGGCCATGGGAGATTCCGGCTGCAAACAGAGACACTCTGGGATCCAAGAACCCATGGTGCCTTTTAGGAATCTTGAAGCAAATTAGAGAAAGGCCTTCCATTTGGAAGGAGAAATTCCGAGAGACCTGCTGTCTAGATGCTTTTGGAAAGATACCCCTCACCCCCCCAAC